CAAACACAGTGTGTGGTTCTGTTGCCAGATGCAAGTGCATAAAATGCGTGATTTTTATTCGCAACTTTAAAAGTCTGGATAATCCAAGAAAATGGGTTATTGGGTCATGGATTTTCATAATTTGGTCATGGAGAAGTCGTGGAATTTATTTGTCCTGTAGGTGCAAGGACCCTGCAAGGCAAACATGTAGGGACGTTTCACACCAGGGTCACATGTGCATTGGCTGAGTCTGAAATGCTCTGCTGTGGCCTGAAATTCTGCACAAGTCTGCTCGTTGGACCAGCCAAAAGATTCGTTTTTAAAAATACTGCAGATCGTTATGTTTATTGGTTATTTACACTTGCTTGCAACCAGCAAGGTCGATAAATTTACAATGTTCATTAGCAGTGAGATGAAAAATGAATCAGGTGACCTCAGATGACCTCTGACCTAGTCTTTGCAGTTGAAGAGTTATTTTTCCCTTTTATTCTTCAGGTAAGGGGAACCTTGAAGGGCTGGACTAAATTGTGGTGTGTCCTGAAGCCCGGTTTGCTCATCATCTACAAGAGTCCCAAGGTATGTGAAGATTTCCAAACTTGCCGTGAAATTCATGTAAAGGACGGGGTTTGACAGCTAAAGAACGCCTGTCTAAATTGTTGAGTCTGTTCAATGTAGCATAAATCTTAACACTTGGATATTATTTCGTGAAAATAGCCAGAACTCTGAAAAGTTCTGAAGTCCCGTCGAAATGCAGAGAGTGAATTGAAATCTTGAGATTCTTCTTTCTTTGCAATATTGCCGTACTGACCCCAGTTTCGGTTTTGGCGCTTTTACAGCATGGGCAGTGGGTGGGCACGATTCTCTTGAACAATTGCGAGCTGATTGAGAGACCTTCTCGAAAGGATGGCTTCTGCTTCAAAATCTATCATCCGCTGGACCAGTCCATTTGGGCAACCAGGGTAGGGCAACTTAGATTCCTCTTTCTCTTTTTCCTTCACCTGTATCTGTTTTTACTACCACGCAGGCGGGAGATACCATACCGGTACATCACAACTCCGTTGGTAGTCGACCAGCAGTCCTCCAACAAACTTGCTCAGAAATGCAGCATAAATTTACCCAACGGTGTTGGCAAGTTGCCATAAAAGTTGTATTTTTTTATTTATGGGTACACTCTTTGTACCGCGAGCCCCTGATTTGTACCCATCACCAGCAGAACAAAGGAAGATTTGGGGGGTCTGATTGGCACAGTGGTGCCTTCCACCTCTGTGGCCCGGGTTCGAATTCTGCCCAGTCAATCTAAAACTAAACATTCCTTCATTGTTCTCTTGCCCCGGCATTCCTAAATACAACAATTTATAACTGAGGAGGTGCTAGTCTGGTTACATAAAAAGCGATTTACGATTCAAAGTTTACAGTTTCCCAAGAGCGATTTCCCCAAAGCGATTTACGATTCAAAGTTTGCAGTTTCCCAAGAGCGATTTCCCCAAAGCGATTTACGATTCAAAGTTTGCAGTTTCCCAATACTTGGTTCCACTAAAGGTTGTTCGCTTTCCATCCATTTTTTGGCCAGGGGCCGAAAGGCGAGACGATGGGCTCCATAACCCAGCCCTTGCCCAGCCAGTACCTGATCTTCCGGGCCCCCTCGGAGGCAGCCGGCAAGTGCTGGATGGATGCCTTGGAGCTGGCGCTACGCTGCTCAAGCCTGCTGATGCGCTCCATGCGGGACGGCACCGCCCTGGACCCAGCGACCATCAGCCAGTCCTTCAGCAAGGAGAAGGGGCTGAACGAGAGCGAGATTGAGAACACCCACTTCAAACACGAAGGTAATTTCAACCCCCGGCCCAAACGGCTGGCTTTTGCTGAAAGTGCCTTTCAGGATGATCGTCCGGATTAGAATTGGAGGTGAAGCAGAGGCAGACCGCTAGGGGCCTTATCCACTGGCTTGATGGGGGCTGGAATGCCCGCCATAACCTCACAGCACAGGCCAAGGCATAGTTAAGCAAGTCCGCATTCCCATCAAAGGACGGACTCAGTATCAAGTCCAACCACACGCAAAAAGAAATGGGAGCCATTTCTGCACTGGTGGCATGCTGACAGACAAGTTATATGCATGCAGTAATTGAGTGCTTATTCAACAGGTGTTGTGACTGTCCAAAATGCACAGATGTTTCAAATTAAGAGTGCGTGTGCCGTGTGCGTACAGTGTGCTTGATGCCAATTCTGTTGAGGCATCTCCTTGGATTTGTAAAGGTATCTGGTATGCAATTCAAAATTGCTGACTTTGCCGATACGTCCCACAAATTCAACCACGAAAAGAGCCCTTCTGACAAAGCTCAAAGATGTCAAAACATGAAGGATCACAAAGTGCGATCATTTACACTTTCCTCAAATCAATTTGCTGTGAGAACCAAAGTTTTAGTCATCAGAACCGGCCTTGGAGAAGAGACTACTGTTTCTTACGTCATGTTTCTCTCCTGATCAGGCCTGGACGATGAGTCTCCGGACAACGAAAGTGACAAGGACCAGGAAAGCAAGAGCGAGTCAGACATGTCTGAACCCGAGGACATCACTTCAATCGACGGAACCATCCCGGCGCACAACGAGACTACGTACGTCGTCAACAAAGTTGAAGAACTTGGACAGGTGAGTTTAAAAAAATCAAAGAGAGGACTTCTATTGTGTTGGACTTTCCTGTACGCTGTTGGAATTTCTTCTGAAACTTTGGACCATACTTTGAGGACTTTGTGTCCCAACAATGTTTTTGGACCTCATAGTATCAGTCGCACAGCAGGTGTGTAGTCCCCAGTGCTCTTGTCAATTTCAGCACGAGTCCCTGGAAGTCCATCACAAGTCATTCATTCTCAAGCCTGGTCGCAAGCTATTGAAGTGAACTTTGAAAATAGCATTTCTTTGTGATTGTTCACCCAGTTTTGTATGATTGGTCTCTTTAAAGAACTTGTGACCGGACTTGTTAAGAGACTTGTGACGGACTCAACTACAACGCCGCAGATGCCCACAACTACAGAACAAGATTTCGTGTTGTTTTTTTTTAATAATCCTTTTGACTTTTTGCATGTTTTTGTCTGTGTTCCCTTCGTGCAGGAGTGTTCTCAAACAGAGACCTTAGAGGAGGAGAACAAAGGCCTGATCTGGTCGCTGGTCAAGCAGGTACGGCCGGGGATGGACCTGTCCAAGGTCGTCCTCCCAACCTTCATCCTGGAGCCCAGGTCCTTCCTGGACAAGCTGTCCGACTTCTATTACCACGCCGACCTCCTCTCTCAGTGAGTACGACAAACTCAGAGTGCATTTCGTGAACGAGCAGAGCATACTCTAACGCGTTATTGATCTTGAGGATGGCCATTTTCAACTTTGCGAAAACTTGAGCCGTGAGCCCAAGCTTGAGGTGAAACAGATTTGATATATTTAGAGGATTTAGCCTGTGTCATAAATGATTGGCCTTGTGTCAGACGTCACTGAGGATTTCAGTGGTTGGGCCAGTGCCATTCAGCTGCTTAACACGGAAGTTATTTTGCTTAGCAGAAGTAGGTTAAGAAATGATGTAATGCATATGGCTTCTAATTTGTTTGTTTATTGTTGCTCAGCACCTAAATTGGATAAGCGATCTTTTCTGCTCAGCAGATAGGCCCTAGCAGTTCCCAGACTCTCTGTCCATGTTAAGTACCCCGGGATGCGAAATCTGTTCTTTTCCAGAGCTATTCTGGAGGACGATCCTCTCTCTCGGATGAAGCAGACGGCCCGATGGTATCTCTCTGGCTTCTATAAGAAACCTAAGGTGGGTGGATGCAAAGAAACTTAAGACATGAGCGTACATATCTTGTGCATATTCTCAGTCTTCTTTGAATTTGACATATTTTTGAAATTACACAAAGAAAAGCACTGGAAGAGAGTCAAACTGGAAACAGTGATTATGGTAAACTGTTCGCTAAATTTGTGGTTGCTTGACATATTCGAAACGATTTTATACCGAGTCAAGTAAGATAGACAAAAAGAAAGCGAAGTTCAATTAAAAAGACCACGTGCTTGAGGAATTGTTTCAGGCGGCATGTTTGATGAAGAACTCGCCACCGTTAGAAAGTGCGGTAACAGTGCACAAAGACTTGAGAGTGATTGGAGGACGGTGGATGGGGTTGAGTCGTCAGCCGGGCAGCTTTGGGTTTTACAAGATATGGGTGGATCAGTGTTGATCTTTTATATCGTCAGGGTTTGAAGAAGCCTTACAACCCGATCATTGGGGAGATCTTCCGATGTCTCTGGACGCACCCCAAGACCAAGAGTCGAACATTCTACATCGCCGAACAGGTAAAAACAACTCAGTCAATTGGATGCAGTACCATGCAGTAATCACGAGTTTGTAACCGTTGGTGAGCTGGAGAAAAAATGAACCACTTCCTGCCGGGGATTCCGGATCCGGACACGTATGCTTTATATGTGTGGCCGGGGTCTCCGAATTTGGACAAAGGCAACAGGGCCTTGTAACAAAAGACCGTACTTGGAACAAAAGACCAGGCTGCTGGGAATTACTGACATTTTTTTACTCTCAAAAAAAAGTGGAGATAATCCAGCCTTGTTTTGAAACAGTATACCACGGTTTGGGGCATTTAGAGCGAGCGGATTACCACCGGGGACAAAAGTGCTTTACCACCGCAGCGATGAGCCACACAGCACCGCTGCATGCTAATCTGGCCCCTATTGAAAAGAGGTCAGCAGCACACTGAGCCAGGTTCGTGAACAAAAGAAAGTTACATAACACCGCACAATCTGGGCTCTTTTTACAAGGCTGCAGGCCTGGCTGAAATACTCAGGTGTCAATAGATTTTGTCTGTCAGGCTAGAGTGGACACCAGACAGTCCTTCACATGTTTGTAACTGCCCAGTAAATGAAGATAGGAATGTTTAAAGAATTTTGGAAAAAAAAAAAAAAAGATAAATATGCCAGCCCAGCATCATCAACATCGATAACTGCCCCGGCAGGAAGTGGTTAAGGTTACAGGAACTTTCCATCAAATTGACTTGTTAAACACAAATTGATAATCATCATTTTTTGGGTTATCAAAATTGTCCTTAGGTATCCCATCATCCCCCGGTGTCGGCCTTTTACATCACCAACCGCAAGGACGGGTTCTGCATCAGCGGCAGCATCCTTGCCAAGTCCAAGTTCTATGGCAACTCGGTGACGGCGGCCATGGACGGACTGGCCACCCTGTCCTTTCTGACCAGAGGGGAAGACTACCACATCACCATGCCCTACGCCAACTGCAAAGGTGAGGAGAAGCACCTACTCCAGAAAAAAAATACATAATGGTGTGACCTGGTGACGGCACATCCTGCTGTCCAGTGTCCACCACTTGCTTGGGTATCGTTCCCCAAGAAACTTGCTCCAAGAGCTGTATTATTTTGAGCCAAAAATGCTGACTTTTTATAACAAAATACCGCAATTAAAGTCCTTTACAAAGTCGGACAAATCCTGAGCCTGGGTGGTCATTTGTTCAAGATTTGTCCTACATTTTCTACCACATTGCTGATTTTTGAAACTCTAAGACAGTCCCGATTTTTTTTTCATTTCTTTGAATAGGGATTCTGTATGGTACCCTGACCATGGAGTACGGGGGAAAGGTGGTCATTGAATGTGATAAGACTGGGTACAAGACTGAGTTCGAGTTCAAATTGAAGGTGAGTAAAGATTCTAGTTTTATTTTTGGAGTTTTTTAAAAAGGCAGAAAATTCGACGAAAAAGGCATAATTCAGTCTACATTTTTTTCTTTTTAAGGAAACTGGTTCTTCTCACCAACTTGTCTTGTCACTTATCTCTTCATGGATTGGTCAATTTTTCTATGCAGCCATTCCTCGGGGGCAGCGATTCATCCAATCAGGTTGTGGGTAAGATAAAGTTCGGGAAAGAGACCCTGGCAAGCCTGGAGGGCCATTGGGTGAGTATGACATCTCTGCTATCACAGAAACCAATTTTATTTCTCGTTCTGCTCAATTTGTGACCAAAATACCAACTTTCGTTTCCAGTTTGATGAATTTATTTTGCATATATAGAAGTAAAAGTAGCCTCAAGTTTAATTGACTTGCATTGTCTGGGAATAACTCTAGGATGTTTATTTCAGTAATGTAAAAATGGTGTGACGATTTGACTTGACTTCGTCAAGAAATCATATTAATTCATTGAATCTTTCCGTTTATTTCAGGATGATAAGGTTTACATTAAAGACAAAAGGACTGGGGTAAGTTCCTACGCCTTTTCTGGTCAAGAGGGTTAAATTCTTAAATGTATCCGCTCTGAGCGCTACAAGAGAGGGCTTTTTTTTTAGTACTCACTGCATAAGCGCGCGTTTGTAATGGAGATCAATGGCACATTTGAAGCTGAGTACGCGTAACGAATTTATTCCTTAATGTGTGGTCTTTGCATAAATGCAGAACTCGCGCAAGAGCCTGCTCGGAATTCTTAAAACCATCTGTCTTTCTTTTGCCGCTTGGGGGCGCACTGCAACTCGGTGCGGATTACCATTTAATTGCTTGTTGTGGCATAGAAATACACAGGCCTTTTTTTTTTCGTGTTGGTTCAGAACATGGAGCTGTTTTGGGTGGTGTCTCCAGATGTCAGAGCTGCACGGCTTCATCGTTCCACGGTGACCATGGAGGAGCAGGCCGAGAACGAGTCTGAGAGGTGAGTATCAAGCCCTGCCTGAGACACAGGGATATGTCCTGCGAATTCCCCAAATTCTTCTCAGACTTCAGGATTTCTTAACGCGAAAATTTGAAATTTTCAGAGGTGTTTATAAATGTTCAGATATTGGAGGGATGAGGAATATTCACGGCGAAAAAAACCCGGGCAAGTAGTGTTAAATTTCAGTTTTTTAAGTGGACTACTTTTTGAGTACCAAGTTCACTGCTAAAAATTGAATTTAAGACTTCAGACACTCCCAGCTTGGTTTAAAAAAGGTACTAAAAATACCGGGTCAGGTACTATTCAAGTGCTTTTGTCATAACAACTTGATTTTCTGAAATGGTAATGATCCGAAGTTGTCAGTCTATATAGTAATCTTAACTTTGTGTATTTATGGTTGAGTTTCCATTGTTCCCTAGGCTTGTTTCCCGTCTCACCAGTTCAGCGTTTGGCAGTTAGCTTGGCACTTGAAAGCAACTTTACTACTACACTGTCCAGTCATTGAAGTAGATGATACGGTTTAAGGCAAGCAAGCTGTCAGTCCTTTCAGCCGAAGTTTGTTTGTGTCGCTGTCTCTTTCAGGCTGTGGTCGAGGGTGACGGAGGCTCTGGGCAAGAGCGAGATCCAGGAGGCCACCAACGAGAAGTTTGTCCTGGAGGATGAGCAGCGAAAGGGCCACAAGGAGAGGAAGATGAAGATGGTGGAGTGGGAGCCGCACTTGTTTGAGAGGGACGAGATCACCCGAGACTGGGTTTACAAACACATGGAGTGAGTGGCTGTCTGTCGCTGTCTGTGTGGGCATCCGTCACCCTGTCTGTCACTGTTTGTGTTGGAGGGGATGGTCGAGATCGTTGAGTGGGAACCTGTTCATAGTTTCAGAGGGAACACCTGAGATAAGTTCTGCAGACTCTTAATTAAGACTCTGCTTCTCCATTTGTGTGGGTGTCTGTCCCCATGTTTGTCACTTGTTGCACTTTGAGACAGCTTTGTGTTGCTGAGCAGAAGTTGGGTAAAGCCCAACCTTTTGTGTGGTGTCTATGATGTTCAGTAAACCATTGTTCTATTCAACTACACGCTGCGGTTGATTTTTCTAAGTGGAAGTTTATCCACCTGCTCCCTTTTGTTTTGTTTTTTTAACCACCAGCAACCGTCCCTGGGACCCTCTGAACGACATCGAACAGTTTGAACACAAAGGCATCATCCAGACGCGGACCCGCCACAAGACCTCCATCCTGCGCACCACCAGCATCATCAGCTTGCCCCACAAGAACGGGCCACACGAGCAGCGGCTCAAGCGCAATGCCTCCCTGCAGCACAAGAAGCGGCAGGCCGGCAGCCGGGTTGCCGCCAGTGCTGTGGCCGCGGGTCGGCCGCGTGGGGCCAGCGGCAGCGCAGACAGCGAGGGCTCCACACCGCCAGAGAAGGACTCGGAGGAAGAGCTGTCAGAGGCTGAACGTAAGGCTGGGTTCAAATTACTTATCTGCAACTTGAAATTACGCGTGACTCTCTAGACCTTTGTCCTGGTGCTGCCATGTTTGTTCTGTTCCCTCAAGACCCATTGGCAATATTAAACGGGGAACGGACCATTTTTGATTCCAGCCTCAGTTGCTTCCGATGGTAGAAAAGCTAGATGACTACTCAGTGATAAAGGTCTATGGGAAGTGACTACGGTCATTGCCATAGACTCGTGTAATTTCAAGCCACGTCCAAGTGCTTCAGACACAGCTGAAACAGGATAAGGCCGTGACAAAATTAAATAGCTGTGGCTGAAGATTATGCATGGTTCTATGAGAAACACGGACAGCCTCTAGTTGGTTACTTCCATATATGTGTGTGTATCTTTCTAGCCGCAGCCAGATACTTTGGACCGAGACTTTGACTGCTGGAAAAGGAACAAAATTTTAAACAAAGAAATTTTTACTCATTTACAAAACATTTGCAAAATTTTTCCCCGGTAGTGCTGAGGTTGGAAGTAGTTTGTGAATATAAAAACCGCAACCAAAATTTCCTGGTATCAGTCAGATTTGTGATGCTGGTTGATCTAAGTCGGAAGATTTGGACTAGAGCGGCCGCTGTCCATTGTCAGAGCTTCTGATTCAAATTTCAGCAGTGTGGTTGGACAAAAACAATTTCGAATTTTGTTTTGTGGCCAAAGCAACAAGCTCTTGATGCAGAATAGAGGAATTGTGGCCGCTTTCATTTGTCTTTGCCATAGAATTATTTGGAAAAAAAAAACCCAAAAGAAATTTGATGCTAGAATTGCAATTTCAGTTAAATTCGAGGCTTCACTCGGTTTTTTTTCTCTGGCAGTCACTGCTGAAAAAGTGGAAGCGGCCAGTACTAGCCTGCAAGGCACCGTCATCATGGAGCAGGCCATCCAGCCCATGGTCGAGGGACAGAGGCGAATCGAGGAGCAACTCAAGGCGATCAACAGCCGGCTGGCAGTCATGATCCGGCAGACCCGGCGCGAGGAGGAAGAGAGCGCCCCCATCAGTCGGGAGCTGATCATCATCGCAGCAGTACTCCTCGTCGGGCAACTTATCATCGCCTTCCTCTTCCGGTCGTGACCCCTTGACCTGTGACCTGGGCTTTTGACCTGGACACAGGAAGTGAGATTGACCTCTGATGCTGGAGGTTACCATGTCCTTCAACACAGGATGTGGCTGCGGGTGACCTTTAGTATGGAAAGTGATGCTGACCTGTGACTAAATGAGTGACATTTGACATGTTGGATGACCTTTGACACACAAAGAGTGAGTGCGTAACCTGAACAGAAATCATGAGATTGATTGTTTCACACAGGAAGATAAAACATGACCATTTGCTTGTGTGATAGAAAGTATTGAAGTATAGTTTACAAGTAGTGAATGCTTATGAGTGCAATGGTAAGAACACATTCATGGGGTGATAAATGGAATGTTCCATTTCACAAAGCAAAGCTGAGTGAAATGGAACATTCCATCGGTCAACTACCTGTTACCCCCTAAACCACTCCAGTGGAATCGGTTGTAATGTATTGTGCTAATGGGCTAAAGATAAGTAGTTTATAGACAGGAAATCAACAGAATTTGAAAGGTTGACACAAAAATGGAAAAACAATGTCTCCACAGTATTAGTTGTAAACGACGGACACTATTGTGTCATCGGAGCTACCGTGCAGAGAAATTTACGAAGAGAAACTTTACTCAGCAGAAATGAACCAGTAACCAACCACAATCACTTTGCAGTTCATGGAAGTTTGGCTGGTAGCCTTGTTTGTGCTTAACACGTTTCAGTGCTCAGCATCTGTGGTTGGCACATTGGTTTTCCGGAATGTTCTTCGTCAGTTTACGAAGTTAATCACAAAGTTGGCCGAGTGGTCACAGGACAACCTTACGTCACAAGTGGCTGGCAGCCATTAGTGCAAAGGACTGAAATTGTAACAGATTTTCTTCTGTTCATAGGTTTCCAAGAGGCTGTTTTGCGCAAGTCAGTACAATCAGACTTACCAGTGAGGCTTGACGAGATTCATCCCAGGAGATGGTTCTCATTTTGTTGATATGACCTGTGGGCCAGCTTGTAAAATTTTGCGAGTTGTTTCCTGTCGTGGTCACATTTCAAGTTGTTTTTTCCTGTTATACGGTACGTGTAACTGATAAATTTGAAACAGGTGTATGTGTAAAACGAAGCATTCTTGAGACCTGGATTACAATTGATGTATCGATGCTGCTCTTGTTCAGATTTTGTTTCGTTCTGTTGTTTTTCCGACAAGGAATAAAGCGTAGGACATTCTGTACCTGGATATCTTTGTAAAGACCAATGCCTTAATGAACTCTGCCTTGTGACCCATAACCTCCGACCCGGTGACCCCTTAAGTGTTGTACATAATGAAGTTCATGGGGTCAGAGTGTATTTTACTGATGGTTGTTGCAGCTGGTAAATTGCCCTCATTAACGTGATATTCGCGAGTTGGGAAAAGTACTCTGGAATTTGTACATTTTAATTTATTACTACCACAGTCTTTTTGCGTGGTGACGTGGAGTTCTTCAAATCAGACCAATTTTTATGACACATTTTTTTTTTCAAAAGATGATTCCTGTGACCTTCAACCTTTGACCCCGACCTGTTCCCACCACCTGTGTAATTGTGTGGATGTATTGTCACAGCGATGTACTCCTTGAATTCAGTTAAGTGGCACTTGTAGTTATGTTCATGTCAGACGTGTCATCGTGAAGTGGCCACTTTTTTGCCTTTAGCTGGTACCCATCACTGAATTACATGCATGAGTACCAGTGTGTTAGGATTTGAAGCATTCTGTGTTCGTCACAGAGACCCAGATCCAAGTTCAGTTCAGTTTATGGTCTTGACCAAACTTCAGAGATATCAGTCTTGTGAGGTCCTTTTTGAGCCTCAGTCGGATTCCCTTGCTGGACAAGTATTTTTACAGTGACCGCTCTCCCCTTCCCTTTATCTAAACTTCACTCAAGCCTCACTCTGAGTTTGAGAGCTACAATTCTGGTCCTGTTTCGGAGCCTCATGGAGCCATAATGTGAACCTCACAGATTGACATGTTATGCCTCCGAGGACTTTGTTCCGAGCCTCATCCACAGGTTCTACCATTCTGAGCTCGGCATAGCCCCCCTCTGTGCCCTATTCGTTTCCTCTATAGATCTTCACTGTTTGAATTTGAAAGCAATGTTGTCCTTAAACTCGGAGTTTTGCGAGTTGAAAATTAAAGTGGTTACTTTTAATAAATGTTTGCCTTTTGTACATCTCTACAAAGTGTTACATGGTTTGTCTTAATTTGTCGATATGTAAGTAAAAAAAATAAATGTACTATAATAAGATAATTTATCTGTGAATTAATATGTTCACAAATACTACAGACGAACAAAAACAGTAACATTATTTTATTGTGCTTAAAATGTAAATTGTACATTATCTGACAAAAACAGTTAATGTGATCGGTGGAAAATGAAGAGTTTGAGGGGCCAGTTAATTATTATGTTTTGTTTGTCTTCCAAGTCATCGAAGGTATTTCAGTGAACGAGAAACCGTATTTCAAACACGTCGACCCATTAAAATGAAAATTGATCCACTTGGCAAGTGATTTGCATTTTTACAAAAATGTGTAGTAGGGCTTTTCTTTATGCACCAAAGAGGGCATGATGGGTAGACATCGCGTTAGCAAGATACCATGTTTTTTATTTCTCCAAAATATAAAAATTAATTTCTTTGTATTCATGTGAGCTTCCTTTCAGACTCACATGCTGTGCACTGTTTAAAGTAAAGTCAGATGGAGCATTGCCAAGATAAATTGTAGTGAAATCCCCAAACCAGGTGTGACCTAACCACAAATAAGGTCACAGGTGTCGATAAACTGTAGTGGTCCTAAATCCTTCAATTTTAATATAATTACTTAGGTTCACACTTAAGCTTGTTGTAGTTTACTTCCTTACCAAAGGATTAAATGGAATGTGTTTGTTACACCCCATCTTGAAAAGCTAATGATTTTTTAAACACGATCCGTTGTAAACATTCCTACAAGTAGGTTACGTTCTGCATTTTGTAACTTTCAACTGCTCCGACACGTGTCGAATAGCTCGTTATATTAAGATGCAATCTTCGTTAAGCCTCAGTTTTCTTCTCGAACTTTTTCACTCCTTTATTTACATGATTATTAATTAAGCATTGGAAATCCCATAGTGATTTCTTTCGTTGTCCATGGGCCATTGATGTAGCTTTTCAGTCTGATAATTTTAGGATCACGGGGCTTTTGACTTTGCAATTTTATATTTTGTCTAATTTCGAAAGAATTTCGGAGGTGAAATTTTCGTATTTTTTTCCACAAAATAAATTTGTTTCTGAGTATTTGTACGTAGATTTGATCCGAGAAAAATGGTAGGTGAGACCACGGTTCATTTCCGACGAGTCAATACAATTCCGAGCCTTTTTTTTTATTGCAGTGTCTAACTTCATTTTATGATTCGGACAAACCTTCGGTTTCTTTGCTTGAATGGAATGCAGGAGTCTTTGTTAAAAGAGTTTCATTTTATTGGTGGGTGTGCGTGAGTATATCCAGCAAGAAATGAGACCAAGAGGTACCCCCAACATGTCCAATCACTGTATACACTCTAGACTATTGTTACCTAACACATCCCACCTACATGTCTGAAAAGAATTCCTCAGATTCCTGTGAAACAATAACTAACACAAAGGGTAGGGGGTTCTCTGCGTCTCATATCTTGCTTTAAATGGTCTGTGTTCTTGTCAAATCTTTTGTGCTCAACAGTTGCCCTCTCGTTACCGATCTTTTCTACCCATTCGAGGTCAGTTTTTTGTATGTGTTTTCGTTCTTTGCCGTTCTTGTCCAATTCTTTGTTCCTTTGACGTTCTGCTGTTGTCCTGGCTTTACTGTTGCTCTGCGAATTTCTTTACCCTTGGTAGCGGTTCTCGGTTCTTTCTGTTCTTTTAACTTCACTTTCTCGGGTATCGTCCAATTGGGTTTTCTTTGGTTGTCGGTACCCTCAATGGGTTTATATACTGCATTCCTCTTCCGATTTTCACCGCTGGTCTGGTCTTCCCGATCGTGTCCTNTGTCCTGTCGTGCTGACTCCTGTTTCACGCTATTCCCAACCCTGCCATTTATGAAGATTATTTATATGTGATTTAATTGAATTCTTATGAATGAGAATGCGGAATATAATTGCTGTTTTAGGTGATACATTAATCGAAAGTCGCTCTTTTGCGTCATTTTTTAGAAAGTACATTTCAAGTTAAATGTTCACTCTACATATGGGTAAATGCAGTTACTCATTCCAAGCTGTGGTTGATAATCCATGTGAAAGTTGAGATAGTGGCGTAGACGTCAAATAAACCTATTTGTTGAAACAATATTTTCACAAGAATGTGATTTGAAGTGTGTAGGCCTCCATGTGCGTTGCATCTGTTCTTGTTGGCAGGAATGCACGCATTCTTCGTCTTGGATATTGACAAAAATATATAAAATGAGTGCTCTTAATTTATCTGAAGAGCACTGATATTTTGTCACTATCCTGATCACCGTGCTACGCAGCCCTTTCATGATTTCTTCGTCTTTAATGCGCGTCCAGAGAGGCGTGGCGAGTGTTTGCATGGAAACTACGTGACAAGTTTTGTGATTGGCTGGAAGTTAGTAGTGGACTGAAATGTGTGACGTCACTCGACCGGCACCGCGTCTCGACGTACGTCACAATACATTTCGCGGCATGGGCGGGCACGCGCGAATGAGGAAACTGTTAATAGTGTGTACGTTTCCCCTTAACGGATGAAAACAAAAGCTGCATTGTCCGACCGGTTAGCGGGTCACTGACTCTGAAACTTGCTAGCTGTAACAGTGACTTCGATGGATATTCGCCAGCGCCTATCTTGATCTGAGAATTTTGGCCATGGATCATTTTCTGTCTTGCAGGAAGGTGGAGTATCCAGGCGCAATGTAGCGTCTGGTTTGGCGGATTCCATTCGGGTGAAAAAATGGGACAGGGGTATTCCCGGTTATGCAATGGTTCAAGTAGTCGTAGGGAGCCGGGGGCCGGCCGATGGAAGCGATTAAAAACGGAGGGAGGAGGCAAAGTCGTCCGTCAAGGATCACCGTGTAGGTACGAAGTCTGCCTGTTTGTTTTTATGTGTTGTTGGCATATCCAATCTTGAAAGTAATCAGTGTTTTGTCACAGATTCTCTTGATAGCCACGTCCGTGCCATGTTTTTACTGCAAATATGTCGCACTTTTCTTCTCACAATGTGACTTCGCATCATTCTGCGTTGTTTTCTGGCGTGTTCGATGTAGGCCTATCGGGTTCGGAGATAAAAATGCATGACGGGAAACAACGTCTGTAAACTGCTCCTGGAAGCTACAGTGGCTTCATAATAAGGCTGTATAACAAAATGTCGAAATTGGTTGGGTGATATTTCGGAAGCTTTCATTTGTTAGCTGGTGGGCTTTGTTGTATAACAGGCGTAGCTCTATTTCGATAGGATAGGGTCGAGGATGGATCAACCCATTGTTCTGCAGCACGCCTGTCCCCAATTATTCTGGTTCGAATGGAGAAGTTGTAACTACGAATCCCGTGTAGAGCTTCACACCCCTCATCAATGATTACACTCTTTCGCATAGCGGTCTAGTCTCGGTTCAGCCGCCGCAGGGTTCGTCATCGGCCGTCAGCTCCACGGAGGCAAACGACGACAAAAGAGACCACGATCTGGAAGAACCGGCAGGAGAATCAGCATGGGACGGGGAAGGCCTTGAAGACAGCGAAGTTGATAAAGGAGGTTCAGTACAGTGTAGTTATCTAAACTTCCTCAGGCTTTTGTTTTTAAACAGTGACTGGTGGTGGTCAAGTTACAGTTACTGGCAATTTTCCTGGGTTATCGACGGCGTCTGAGAAACTGGCATACAGACATGCTTATAGGCAGAAAATCGCAATGTACATTGTACGCTTGCTTCAAACGTTAATGAACTTTTTTCTTATCGTATAAAATTTTTAAGCAATAGGCCTGTACTCTTTAGCACTGCCAAGCAACTGGGCCAATTTCATAGAGCTGCTTAAGCGTCAGAAAAGCTTACTTGATAAAGCAGGTAACCAGCCAAATCTCCATGTGATGTGTATTGTTTTGGGATTGTATTTAGCTGTTTTGTTTTTTTAGCATGACGATTAGATGGAGTTTGAGCTGGTAATGTGTTTATTAAGCAAAGTTTTTTTCCCGCTTAAGCAAATTTTGTGCTTAAGCAGCTCTATGAAATTGGTCCGAAGTTTCTGTGTGAAAACCAAAATTGACTTCCACGCAGATACTTTCCTGTGAGCGATTAAAGTGACATTGTGTATTTCCTTTTATTTGTGCCTTTGGGGTCAAAGGTGAAACTCCAACCTATAAGTACATTTCCATGAAGTCTGAGAGCGGCAAAGCCCCCAAGAAACGCAAATGGCACGGCAAAGTCTCATCATACACAAGTAACGCATCCACGAGCGTGCCAAAAGAAGTCACACCACTGCAGCCGAACGACATCATTTTGGCGGGAAACGAGCGGAGCCAAACAGGAAACACATTCCGACCTGGCAGTTTGCCAGCTGTTATCACCGACTCCAAACCCATGAAGGACGCTCATAGGCTGCTGGGCGTTCTGACTGAGCACGCGCACGCCGATGAGTTGTCAGAGGAAGGTCCGGTAAGTGACAAGTTTAAAAACTTCGATTATTTTAATTAAAGCTTTCCCCCATGGTAAGTAAATATAATTTGTTTATATTGCATGGGAAGCGACGAAGCGATAACCTTGGTATCTGAGTGAAGTTCAAGCTTTGTCAAGTCAACTTGTGACGGCAGGGAGTTCTTGGCAAAATCAGTCTCAACTTGTGTGAATAAAAATAAAATGGCCGCCTTCTTCCTGATGAAAGATTAAGCACGTGCTCACAACATTCGGTGATACATGTACATTACTTTCCCTTGCAGAGCTCATATGTGTTGCCAGATTCAATCTCTTCTCTCGTTCCTGGTCGCCTAGGAGTCCGGGGATGCCGTACACCGTATCATCCAACACGACATCGGCCGTGAGCGCAGCATCAACGCCCGCCTGCGCGAGCTGAAGGACATCGAAGGTCGCAAGTCCGAGAGGAGGTTGTCCGTCACCGCGGCGGCCACCGCGTCGCAGCTGCACGTCATCCCCGAGATTATTGGCGAGGAGCCCACTGATCCGGCAGACTTCAAGTACTCTGATACCGATCTCTACTTCTAGTCTCTTTCCACATTGAAATCTCATGCACCCTAAAGATTCTTCCCGACTTCATCTTCTACAGGTAACGTTTTTGAAGGATTTTGTGAGTTGGAATGGATGGCGACACAGCTTTCAGATTTTACTTGAAGTACAAATTAAAAACTCATTCTGAGAAAAAGAAATTCTTTTTGAATAATGCACATTCAAAACAACAAATGGAAATATTTCAATTGCTTAGAATGAAAGGGGCAATGATTACACATGAACATTCTAGCACGAAATTTTGTTCATGGATGGGCAATGCTTGCCCGTCTTAATTTTATTAATCTTTCTATGTTCAAAGTAACATCTACAGTTACATCTTGTAAAACGCAAACTAAAACAGTGAAATGCTTCTTACTTGACAGGTATTTAAAAGTCATATTTCAGTACTACAAACTTGGTACTACTTGGTTTATTAAAATGTTATTGAATCATTCCTAGGGTCTAGTTACAGTTCAACAAAATATGGGTCACCAGAAAGTACACACGTACTTGAAAAAAGTTATACACATGTACTTGTACCCTGTAAAGTCTTAAGAGCATGCATACTTATTGAACAAGCGTTACTTGCGTTATTTTGGGATTTGACCACAAAAGGAGGTAAATAATAAAAGTTTATGTTGGCAAGGAAAATCTACCCCTACTTGGTAAGTATAGGCAATTAACATGTTTCGACTTGTTCAGTGTTGATAAAAAGTCGGTGAATAAAACAGCACATGCTGTCAAACAAGGACGCAATAAAATTTGCAAAACCTCCATTAGACTAATAAAAATAAAAGGTCGTCACTGATGTACCAAGGACGGATCCAGGATTTTAAGGGGGGGGGATGATCCTGGATTTTCCAAAAGGGGGGGGGAGGTGGTGTGAATGACAGCAGCAATAGTAAAATCCCCTTAGGACTTGGGTTCTGAGGCATTTTTGGATTTTAGGCGCTCTGTGGTACAGTATCAGGCAATATGACCGCTCTATTTGCCTTCTTCCGCCCTCTTTTTCTTCTTTTAATTGTATAAATTTTATTGGCCAAAAATGGGCGCCTCCACAACCCCCCCGGATCCGCCCATGGGTACAGAAAGTTATAAATGTCAGAAAATTATAGTGTACAGTGGAACATCGCGATACTGAACACCGCTATACCGAACATTCGGCTGTACAGAACATCGCCCTTGGCTTCC